TCTAAGAAAAAGGTAATAGTTTTTGTATTCTTCGACTTTAATTTTTTTCTACCTATTCCACTTCTCCCCATCAGATAAATAAGAATAAAATTTAAAAATGTTTTTAATTAAAGAGGAAAGAGTGAAAGAAAATTAGATTTTATAAATATCCTAATTTTCTTTCAGAATTTGTGTAAACCTTAACTGGCTTTTTCTTTATTGTTTCATAAATTCCCTTTGTATTGTAATGAGAATTTTTAGTTTTTTTCTTTTAAGCTACAAATTTGAAAAGTTAGATGGCATTATAAAGTTTCTTGGGAGCTTTCCATATTATTATTGCTATAGGTCTAGCAAGAAAAAAAATTCTATCTTTATAGGAATGTACTCACTAATAAGTACAGTCTTTGTATTTTGTTTTGGGCTTTATTAGAACTAGCCAGAGTAGAATTTAAATTGTTGGATTTTTTTTTTTTAACAGTTTATTGTCAAATTAGTTTCCACATAATATCCAGTGCTCATCCCCACAAGTGCCCTCCATGCCCATCCCCCCTCCCCCCCACATCCATCAGTCCTCAGTTTTTGTCAGCATTCAAGAGTCTCTCATGGTTTGCCTCTCCCCCTTTCCCCCACCATTTCCCCCCTTCTTCTCCCCCTTGTTCGTCAGTTAAGTTCCTCCTAATCCTCCATACATGCAAACATATGATATTTGTCCTTCTCTGCCTGACTTATTTTGCTCAGCATAACACCCTCAAGGTCCATCCATGTTGCTACACATGGCCAGATTTCACTGTTTCTCATTGCCATGTAGTATTCCATGATATAGATAAACCACATCTTCTTGATGGACACTTAGGCTCTTTCCATGTTTTAGCTTTAAGGAAATTTTTCTAAGATGTTGGTGTTTATATTAGTACTTTAGCTCTTACATACTATTCAGACTAAAGTTTCTAGCATAGTTTGGAATGTTTCATTTTAAAGAAAGAATTCTCATCCTTATGTTCTTATTGGTATGCCTATTAAAATTTTTTGTAGAAGGTTTTTTAAAAAAAAATCTAACATGAACAAAGAAAATAAAAATTATTCTATTGCCTGTTGTTAACATTTTCATACTTTTCTTCCTTTTTTTTTTAACTTTTATATATCATAAAAATAAACATGTATGAAACATTTATATAGTTTAAAGAGTAAGTTTAACTTCCAGGTTCAGAAATAGAACATCATCAACACACTGCTGTGTACCCTCTACAGTAATTTCTCTTCTGTATCCCCCAGAGATCACGTTTGTATGTTAAATAACAAAAATTCAGCCTAGTAAATTTTAAACATCTAATTGGCTTTATTAATTGATCAGCATCCCAGCTAGCAAGTAGTGGGAAGCTCTAAAGTGATACAGAAAAGGAAAGTTTTTTAAAGGTAGGCAGGGAGTAGAAGAAAGGAAAGTATTAGTAAAGAATCCATTGTTGAGGCAGGGTGGCTATCCGGAATGGTAGGGATCTATCAGTACATTTTTCCTAATGCTGATCAGGGAGTTCCCATGTTGACTCGTTAAAAGTTTATTGGGGGTTGAATCTTCAGTTAGTTCAGTATTAAAGGGGTTTGAATTCATGACCCCAAGATCAAGAATCGCATGCTGTACTGACTCAACCAGGTGTCCCAAGTTGTTTTCTTTTTACCAATGGGACATTCTGATTTTGCCAGTGGGATTTTTGATGGTATAATAGTTGGATAATGTTCAATAGTAGAAAACAGTATGCATAGGTAGATTATTCTGTTCTTTGGCTGCTCCTGTGTTATATATGATCAGCAGAGCTTTCAGAATATCCTATTAAGCCCAGGAAAGTGTTGATTGCTAGGCTTCCTGGAACTCATTGAGTAGGGGAGAACAGCTGATTCTACATTGGATTTGCTTACTTAGCTGTGATGAAACCCAATTGTTAGTTTTGATTTGTGGGGTTTTTATCAGAAACACCACATTTCTTAAGAGTACATTTTCAGTTTTGGGAAATACAGAAAGTGTACTTCTGTGTGTGTTGGCTCACTGCCTCATTTCTGTTACTGTAGGGACAAGCTGTGGGGGGTCTGTGTCTCCATCCTGGCTCTCCTGCCTCGAGTCCTCAGGTTGATGCTGCAGAGCCTGCGGGTGAACAGAGCTGGGCCTGAGGAGCTGCCTGTTGTGGGCCAGCTGCTTCGCCTGCTGCTTCAGCATGCACCCCTCAGGACTCATATGTTAACCAATGCCATCTTGGTGCAGCAGATCATCAAGAATATCACGGTAAGAAGCATGGCACAGGGCTTTGTACCATTAGTACTAGAAAAAGGATGCATGGGAAGGGCATGTGGAGGGTGCTCTGGGGAGGCAAGGCCTCGTGTGCATTGACTGACACCTGGAATGAAGCCCACTGTGGTGATTTCCAGGGCTTCCCCTGCTGACTAGCACCTGTCACTTAACCAGAGGGAAGGCCTTTGATCCAGAGTCCGTAATAAAAGGCTTAAAATTTTCAAGTTGAATTAAGGTGGCAGGCAGCTTAGAAAAGGTACAGGGCATCAGAATCACTCCTACCAGGATTCTGATACAGACTGTTGATTAATTTGGCATGTTTTTAATCATGAGTTGTTTTACCTACCTGTAGGAATAGTAACTTCATTGGGTTTTGGTAAACATAAAGTGAGATCATTCGAGTAAAGTTTTCAGTGAAACTGACATTAAGTGCTCAACAAATGTCATTAAAAACATTATTTAGCAGGAATGAACTTAAGGCCAGTTTCTAGCCACCTAGTTCACTGGAGAGAAAGAGGACATTAAGATGTTGCAGGCTTCAGGTTTGTGTAATGACTGGTTCTGTGTTCATCTACTTTGCAGGGGCAGCTTTGTCTAGGATTTCTTTGGTGTTTTGGTTTGGAAGAGTTTTTGTCTATAGGTATTTGGGGATTTATTAGTTGATATATGTAGTAATACTTCAAAGAGTAATAGAGCTTATATGTGTATATAACACAGATTCTCATTCTGAATAGTCTCAGTAGCCTTGTAGAAATAATGGAAGAGGCAGCAGAATAATTCAGAAATAGGGAAGAAAAGTCAAGAATTTGGATTATTCAGAGGTTGGGGAATCCGCTTACCTCTATATGGAAGAGAATGACAAATTGTCAGTCGGCTGTGAAAAATTCTCAGTTCTTGTTAGTGCATAGGTTGTAAGACTCTAGCATGCTAAGGGAAGTCCTGGGTGTAGGGATGGTTGATGGTGAAATGTCATTAGTTCCTAGCAATATTTGAGAGGGAACAGATGAAACAAGAAACTGGTAGCACTTGTACTTGAGGTTGTACCCAGGAATTTTCACTACCTGTGGTAATGCCCAGTTAACAAATAACCCTGTGGTGATTGATAAATGGAGGATAGGGTTGCAGTGGTTCTGAGATCTTGTTTGGGTGTGAAAAATCTGTGAGGTAGCATAAGATTTTTGATACAATTCTCAAATTATTCTTTTTTTCTGCAGACCTTGAAGAGTGGAGGTATTCAGGAACAGTGGCTCACAGACTTACATTATTGCTTCAATGTGTATATCACTGGGCATCCCCAGGGGCCCACTGCATTGAGTACAGTGTATTGAGTACAGTAAGAGGCACCATGGTACCTCCTGTTTGAAATTCTTTATTCATGTCTATCTAATTTTGGAGAGAGACTGATGTAATGTTTGTCATTAAAGCTGAACTTTTAAAGAAGTTGTTTATGAACCTTCCTTTGCACTAAGGTAGGAAAATAACACAGGCTCGCTTCTTGGACTAGCACATTATACTTGGTCACAGGTGGGTAGAGTATTTTGCTGTTCATAGAAACTAAATATTTACAATACGGAGTGATTATACCTTCTATTATTTACCGAGAAAGTAGAATCTTTTTGGTCTCAGTTCCAGTTCATTCGGACAGCAACAGAAACCAGTTTTTTATTTGGGAATGATTGCATTTATCCATCATGAAATTCAGCACCTCACTATGGAGTTCTGTTACTTACAGAGGTTTTCTAGCTCCCTTTGCAGTAGCAAGATTTCAAGGTAGTACTAAAGTTGTTTGAGGTTTTCCTACACCTAAAGGGTATTTGGTTTGATCTAGATAATAATTCTTTCAAAATTACTTTGACCCATTATAATTCTTTTAAAGTTACAAGCTATCTATAGCAATTTATATTGACTGTTGAAAAATGCTGGGGGAGGGTTTGGGCACTGACCCCCCCCCGCCCCCCCGGTAAAAAAAATTCATGTATAACATTTGACTACCCCAAAACCTTACTACTTATACTGTTGACCAGAAGCCTTACTGATAATCAATTTACACATATTTTTCTCTGAGAATGAGAGCAGGGAAAGGGAAGAGGGAGAGAAAGAGAATCTTAAGCAGGCTCCATGCCCAGCGTAGAGCCCAATGTGGGGCTTAGTCTCATGACTGGGAGATCATGACCTGAGCCGAAATCAAGATTCAGGCGCTTACCCGACTGAGCCACCCAGGTGCCCCTACACCTATTTTGTATACATATTATATATCTAATTCTTATAATAAAGCAAGCTAGAGAAAAGAACACATTTGTAGTACTATGGCTATCTTAATACTATATACATTTATTGGAAAAAAATCCACGTTAAGAGGAACCACAAACCTGGTTGTTCAAAAGTCAGCTGTATTTTCATAATTAGGAAATAACAATTAGCAAATTGTAAAAAAAAAAAAAAATCAAGGTAATTAACACTTTATTGGTTCTTATCTCTTCCTATCTGGACAGGGTGGTGGTAATCTTAAGAAAATGGAAACACTTCTACTAGAAATATTTGGGCCTAATATGCCACTGTTTATGCCTTCTGTCTACATTCCTTTGGTAACTTTGCTCTTAAAAGTGTGAAAAACCTGGGGCACCTGGTGGCTCAGTCTATTGAGCATCTGATTTTGGCTCAGGTCATGATCTTACAGCATGTGAGTTCAAGCCCTGTATCAAGCTTGCTGTCAGCATAGAGCCTACTTTGGATCTTCTGTCTCTTCCCCCCACCCCCTCCCTGCTTGCGCTTTCTCTCTCAGAAATAAATAAATCTTTAAAAAAATGTGAAAAACCTATAATCACTGGGTTTTATTTATGCCAGGTGTTCTTAGAGCAAGAATGTGTTTTCCCTGCTACTAGGAATGGCATTTTGACAAGCTTGCTCACCTATAGGTCAGGCAGAAAATACAAGTGAAATAATAAGGCCTGAATTTTGGTACCTTGGGCATGAATGGTCTAGTCCAACTGATAAAAATGGCTGCTGTAGGACAGGCTCTTCCCCCGTCTCATCTAGGTTCTTCACTAGAGCCAAAAACCAGGCTTACATCAGCTGGCTGGCAGAAATCTCATGTTAGTGCTCATGTTCTTAGTTTTGCTTAGACGTTACTGTTAATTATATGTTCTACTTTATAGCCATACTGACTGAAGTGAGGGCAGATAGTGCTGTAGAAGAGCAGAGAGAAAACATCCTGACATGGTCATTCAGTTATTACCATGTTTTCAAGCTATTATTGACTTTGGGCATGAATAGTAAAGTTTCTCAAGATGTAAATGTTAATCAGGAGAGGATGAGAACTCTGCACTAGCTATTCCAGCTCCCCCGGACACGGTCTTCCTCCAGAGGCGGTCGAAGCTTTGTTTTGGTTTTTGATTGAGTAGCTGATTGGAGGTTATAAGAAAAATTCTTTGATCTTCCACTGTTCTCAAGAAGTTGGATACACTGCAAGTTGCTCACTGTTAAAAGCAAATACCAGAGAGATATTATTTATTATTTTTAATACTAGAGAGAAGAGTTCATTCCTGGTGAGGTAAAGGGTTAGATATGGACTGCCCAGGAAGCTAGTAAGGTGATAGCCAGTTTGTTGTAGAGATCGGTAACTTACCAGCCTTGCATTTTATATTATCCTCCAAGATAGAGGACATTTTTAAAGATTATTTATTTTGAGAACAAAAGCACGAATAGGGGGAGGACAGAGAGAGGAAGAGAATCGCAAGCAGGCTCTGCACTATCAGAGGAGAGCCTGACATAGGGCTTGAACTCACAAACCATGAGATGAAGTTGGATGCTTAACTGACCAAGCCACCCAGGCACCCCAATACATGACATCTCTTCAAGAACCTTGACTGGGAGAGGCCAAGTACTTGAGCTGAGACTGGGACCTAGGTCTTCAGTCTGTCTAGAAGAACTGGTGTAGCTTTCTCTATGCATCTAACCTAAAACAACACAAACTCGCATATACGCTTACTTCTCAACTTTCCATGTACCACACACTTGGCTATATAGTCCATTCTAGAAAACCATTTCATTTGAAGATTTCTTTAAGGATGACAGACTAATAGGCATATCAATCTTGAAATGGATTTTTTAGGCCTTTTTATGACTTTGAAGTTACTTATAGGATGAAAAATTTTAAGGTGTTACAGTTGGAAAATAGTGATGTATTCAACCCTCTTGCTGAGGACAAATTGCTATGTTTCTCCTCTCTGTGGAGCAAAGAAGCAACCATGAAAGGTGAGTAGTTTTAAAAAGTTACAAACATGTCTTACTTTTTCTCTTCCTGGTTTTATTATGGTTACTTAAAGTTATTTTAAAGTAAACTACTGATATGGAATTCTGTTTCTGGCTGCCTTTACTGTATCAAGTCTTGAGTTATCTGCAAACCCATCTGTAGATGGGCAGGAATATTCTGCATTCATACAAAGGGTTTACCATTACTAGTAATCACTTGAGCCACGGTTATTCCATTCATTGGAATGGGTTTTTAAAAGGTAGTTCTTTTATATTAAAAAAAAAAGGGGGGGGGGCAAATTTAGGTGTGTGAGAACACCAGCAAAGGAGAGGGGCAGAAGGGGGTGGTGGGGAGAATATCTCAAGCAGGCTGCACGCTCAGCACAGAGCCTAACGTGGGGCTTGATTTCACTACCATGAGATCATGACCTGAGCCGAAATCCAGAGTCAGATGCTTAACTGACTGAGCCACCTACGTGTCCAGGAGGTTATATATATTATTTGTATACATACATGTTATATATGTATATGCTCTCTGACCAGTCCTGTGCTGTTTTGTGGGTGGTATGCAGGGGTCGCTGTTGGATTGGAGAACAGGGATTGTGGAGTCTCCCATATGCACGTAGAGAAACAGGCCAAGGAGGCTATATCCAGCCCACTTTCTGCTTCCTCTTTTAAGAGGTAAAGGCACTACTAAAGCCTGTCCCTATGCTAGAAGTTGGAAGCAACAATCCTTGCTCAAATATTTGTGTGCCAAATAATTTCCTAAAAGTGAGTAAGATAGTGAGCAAATCAGAAGATCCTTAACTCCATGGAATTCTTAAAGCAAAAAAAAAAATCCACTAACTTTTATTCATGGAGAAGACCACAATTAATGTTCTCTTTTTGGTTCAATTTGGCATCTGGATTTCACATTGCAGAAATTAGTGTGTGTCAGTCGTGCCCATTTCCATGGAAATTATAGATTTTTTTTTTTTACTTAAATATCCAGATCAATTTGTAGATATTTTCTGTATGAAACATATATGGGCTCCAGCTACCCTAGTTAGCAGCTGTGACAATCAGCTTACTGTTTAGTGCTTAATGTACATGTGTAGACTTAACAAAACCTGGTCTTCCCTCAAGGTTAGGGTTAGGAAAAGGTTCTCTTCAGACCTTGTCTGTTTTCAAGCCACTGAGAATTACGCGTGTAGGACAAGCTGTTCATATGAAATCCAAGAAATCACGAAGTATTTGTTTATTCTGTCTCTTAACTGTGAGCCCTTTGACTAAAAACCTTTTGTGTTTATAAACATCTTCATTTTTAAGATTTCTGATGGTCTCAAGAAAAATCCAGGGCTAAGTAAAAATGTTTTGATTATTTAAATGTTACTTTTCCTGGTAGATTTAGCTGACCATTGTTTTTGAAACTAATTTTCAATTCATTCAAGTAGAACGAAAGCTTTTTTTTTTTTTTTTTAACATGGAAACTTTGAAAGGAATCAAAGCCCACAGTTGTAACTACCCTACCCACTACTCCCTGATCAGCCTGCCTATATCACATGAGTTGCCCAACTCTTTATTAAAGATTGGGCAGTAATTACTCTGTCCCCTACCTCCAGGTTTCTCCCCACTCCCCCCATCAAAAACTAAATGAATGTTAAAGTTCATGCTGACAGTCATTGTTCACCTTCCAGCTGCACTCTATTCCTGCAGGATGACTGGATCAGCAAGGGTGGGGTTGGGGGGAGTGTGTTGCCATAGCCACCCACGAACAACACTGGATCTGGCATTAACTGCTGACAGCACTGAACTTATCACCTAGATTTAATGCTGGTGTGAATGAAGGGGGCCCAGAGTAAAATACTCTTGTCTTGCTGCTGAAAAGAAAGTTCCCTGAGCATGAGTCAAATTGTGCATGGTGAAGCCTAAGTAGGACATATTATTAAGTATTACATGTCCTCTTCATGGGGCTATGAAAGGCAAAAGCCAGAATTTGTGGTTAAGGAACTTTTCAAGGTTGGGAAGGAGGTGAAGAATCTTAATGTGAAGTCAATATGGAACCAGAATTCCCAAGGTATTTACTTTGAAGAATGACAGTATTTCATTTCCCCTTTCCTTTATGTGAACATATATGTAAAAGTGATCAATAATAGGTACCAATTATTGTTTCTACTGGAGGTAATGTTACCAGTAACTTGTGGTTGTGAAAATAATTTGTCTCTTACAGAGGAGACATGTTGACTGCCGTAATGATTCCATGAAAGGGTAATGAAAAACATGCACATCTCAAATGAAATGACCATTGGAAACCCCTGGCAATCTCTGTCCTCATGTCTTCCATCTTTGGGGATGAAACAAAAAAGGCAAATGCTTCCCCAAATTGTCTCCCCAATCTGCTTTGCCAGTGCACTGGCTACCTTACCTGAATTGAGGCGCAGCACGGAATGGGCTTTGGAAGATCTTGTGGGATGAGGTACTTTCCCTTCTTGAGAACAACCTGAAATCAACCAACAGTGACCATTTCTCTCTGACCATGGTTAGCTGTGGCCTAACCAAGTTTTAAGTTCCTTATTGAGGTAGAGGCTTGAACTTGTTGGTATCTGCCAAGAGAAATTAAGTATGCTGTGGAAATACCATGTAGGCCCAGAGTAAAGTCCTGAGATTTTGCTGCCTGGGCTGCAGATCTGTTTCTAAAGGTGCCTTGACTCAACTTTTTTTCTTTTGGGGAGCTGTCTAGGCTTGTACTCTGCTGACTTTACTTGGATGATTCTTTCCAGAGCTGAAAATGTTCCAACTTAAAGCAGTCATCTGCTGAGCAAGTATTTACTATTGTGCATGGGTCTAGGGCATTCCCACAGATGGGCAGCCTTGTACTATCTTAGCATAAGGAAGGTCAAAGTGAGGCAGACAGAGTAGAGTGTTCCTGCTCCTGGAGCCATCCAAATGGGTAATGTAAGGGGAAGTCCCAAGCAGTGGTCTGGAGGGGTTTAAAGGGTAATGAAGGCCAGCAGAAGACCTCTTGATTGAGATGCCAAAATGCATCATTAAACCAACCCTGAACTAGAATTGCTGGAGGGGAGGCATTAAATGTGTGCTGAGAATTCTCCTGATGCTTGAAGTAAGATCAGTGGAGGTTTGCCCGGTGTAGTTAAATCTCATTTCAGATTCTGGTGCAACACTCTGGGGGTGCTTGTTATCGACTAGAAAGTGCCCAGAAGGATACTTACCATAGATTTGCTTGAGTACTAAGTGCCTGGTGGACTTGGTGCCTGAGCTGCCTTTGGATGAACTCTTTGTGGTCCTGTTTACTGCAGTGGCCTTTTGGGGGGTTAGTTCCAGCTCTTTCCTCCAAACTTGGAGCAGCAACGCCAGGCACTCTCGGTTCCATCTGTCCACATCTCTGGTTCCAAGCTGCTTCATGTGCAAGAGGTAGGACAGGTGCTTCCTAAGCTGGTAGCTGGTGAGGTCAGAAGAGAGGAGAGGCTTTAAGATCACAGTACTGAGAAAGTCTCCTTAGGGTTTCTAGAAGCTATAGGAAGAGTATTTGCTGAGCTGGGAGATTCATTTAAGCTCCCATTCCTAATTTGAAGTAGCAGTATGTTTAATGTTGAATTTTTTTTCTTTTTTTTTTTAATCAAACAGTTCCTGTACTAGGAATCAATCAGATGAGTCTGCCCTCAGGGTGGGTTGGGCCAATGTGTAAACAAATGAGAAGTACTGTGTAAGACTGAGGAGCTAGATGGCATGAGAGCATGTGAGACTTGATAATTCGTGGTGGTTGGGTAAGGCTTTATAAGACTGATACTTGTGAGAGGTGTATGAAGCAGTGTGTATTTGGTGATGGAATGCTAGGCTACACTGGAAAAAGCCAACATGTGTTCAGAGCCTGTTACATATGTTACATATCAGGCACATTCCTTATGATTTAGATGAAAATAAATCCATGAGGCAGACATAGGAGTCATAGGAGTCTGATAAAGGATGGGTAGATGGCAACAGAGGTTGCTCCTAACTTTACTTCCCCTTATGAGAACAACAACTAAGAACTATTCATGGATAAGACACCACTGAGAAACTCTTAGAACACGGGAGACAGGCTGCAGCCCCTTGCACCACAGAGGCCAAGACAGACTGCATTGGGATAGAAGGAACAGCTACATGCTGACTGCACTACCCTTCCACCAGGCTGGTGTATCACCACACCAAAATGTCTTTAGCCTATGGTTCCTCAAATGGGAAAGGGGAATCCAGCACCCCTCGCATTGAAGGTCACTTCTTGGGAACCCATACTCTAGTCTCAACCCATGGGGATTGCCAGGGAATCTGGGGCTTGACCACTGGGAGTCTGATGGAGAAGGTAGGGGCTTGCAGCAAACAGTATCTGGATCTTGGCATACCAAGTTCCTACCTGCAGTGGCCAAGTAGTAGTCCCAATCTTTAATTTTGTTCATCTGCAGAGCCAAAACAAGTGCAGTCTGACCAGGGAACTCAGCAGGGTAACTGAATGAGGTACTTAAAGAGCCTTGTCAACCCTGGAGTCAGGTTGGCTTCAGCTCAGGCAGGGGAGCTGAGGCATAACCTGGCCCACATATGAGTGTAGCTTCTGGTCCTGCCACACTAAAGTCTGGCCAGGACATCTGGAGAGGTACAGCAGGCAGAGCTGATTATCTGCAAAGCAAAGACAGTGGCCCTGTATAGCCAGGGAACTTGGGGTGCAGGCCACCTTGAGTAAGCCGCAAAGAACTTTTTAGGCCTTGGAGCTGGTTCTCCTGCTCTCCATGAGCAGGGAAAGTAATCCATAGCTCTAGCAATTGCTGAATAGAGGCTTCAGCCCATCTGACCAGGAAACCTAGCCAGACCACACAGGAAGCTGTGTAGCCCAGCCAGAGCCCTTCTTAACAGCAGCACTTGAACAGGAAGCACACCCTGGTTCTATTCCTGTCTGCACTGCAAAACTGGTGGCCCCATCTGGCCAGGGAACTCAGTGTACAATCTCGTCTGACTTGACTCCCCAAAGCTGTGCAGACCCCCAGGGCCTGTCCTGCTGCTCTGCCAGTTCAAGGAAGTGACTTCATAGCCCCACCTACTAGTAAGCCTGACTAGAAAACCCAGGGAACTGCACAGCCCATCCTAAAGCCTTGCTTGGGCAGAGAACAAACCCAGCAGTCCTATCCAACTGTTCCAGCTAGCAGCATCCCCACCCCACCCGCCACAACCTGAGAGCTTGCCCTGCCCCAAAACAGATGGCCCTAATAGCAAGTTCCACCTGCCGAAGGATGTTACTAGTAGACATGTCAAGCCCAAACTGAGCTTCCTGATGAAGAACTCTTGGCTAAAGCAAACCTGTGAAGAGTAGACCACTTATTCAAATGTTCAGATAGCAACATCAGAAATTAATAAAGTTCTGGTGACTGTAAAGAAACATCTGTGAGGGGCATCGGGGTGGCTCAGTTGGTTAAGCATCTGACTTCGGCTCAGGTCATGATCTTTTGGTTTGTGAGTTCAAGCCCCACATCAAGCTCTGTGAGGACAGTTCAGAGTCTGGAGCCTGCTTCCGATTCTGTGTCTCCCTCCCTCTCTGCCCCTCCCCATCTCTCTCTCTCTCTCAAAAATCTAAATAAAGCGTTAAAAATATTCTTAAAAAATCGATATCTGTGAACTATTCTACAAGCAATTCAGAATAATTCTTTAAAAAAGTTTGGTGAATTACAAAAATGCACAGACAACTAAATGAAATTAGCAAAAGAATGCATGAACAAAACAAAAATTCAACAAAGAAAAACCGGGGGTGGGGGAGATAAACCCCGGGGCTGAAAAATAGTGTCTGAACTGAAGAATTCAATAGAGAGCTTCAAAAGCAGACTTGACCATGTAGAATCTGTGACTTAGAAAACAGGGTATTTAAAATGATCTAGTCAGAGGGGCAAAAGAAAAAATGAAAAAGTGAAGAAAGTATGTGGGACTTCGAGGGCATGCTAAAGAGAAACAACCTCATTATGGGAATTTGAGGAGAGAGAATGGGACAGAAAATATATTTAAAGCAGTAATAGCTGAAAGTTTCCCAGACTTGGAGAGAGAAATGGACATTGAGATCCATGAAGCCCAAAGGACTCTAAATACAATCTGAATTAGTGCTACCCTTAGACACATTACACTGTTAAAAGTCTAATGTTGAAATACACAAGTTATAGATGTAAGAACTCCCATAAAACTATGAATTCGTTTTTCAACAAAAATTTTTCAAGCCAGGAGAGAATAGGATGATATATTCAAAATATTAAAGGAAAAAACTGTCAATTAAGAGATTTATAGCTGGCAAAACTATCCTTTAGAAATTAAAGCGGTAAAGAACAAACTAAAGCTGAAGGAGTTCATAATCTTACTAGACCTTCCTTGTAAGAAATGCTAAAGGAAATTCTCTGGAAGTAAAAGGATGCGAGTTAACATCATAAATACTTAAGGCAGTCCAAAACTCACTGATAATAGTAAACATAGTCAGAATGTGGAATTTTTGTGCATTATATACTTTTAAAAGTTTAAAAACTTAAGAGGTGCCTGGGTGGCTTAGCTGGTTAAGCATCTGACTCTTGATTTCAACTCAGGTCAGACTCTCACAGTTTGGAGATAGACCCCCTCATCTGGCTCTGTGCTGACAACATGGAGCCTGCTTGGGATTCTCTCTCTCCCTCTGACCTTCTCCTGCCTACAACCTCTCAATCTCTCTCAAAATAAACAGGTTTAAAAACTTAATAAAAGTAACAACTACAGTGGTATGAAACTAGAAATCATAATGGGAGGAAAACTGAAAAATTCACAAATGAAATTAACATTTTCCTGAGCAACCAAAATCAAAGAATGAATCAAAGGGAAAATAAAGGATCTTTAGACAATGGAAATAAAACAACAAAATTTATGGAATGCAGCAACAATGGTTTTAAGAGGGAAGTTCATAGCAATAAGTGCCTACATTAAGGAGCAAGAAAGATCTCAGATAACCTACTCTTTAAGGAAGCAGTAAAAGAACAAACTAAGTCCAAGGTTAATAGAAGGAAGGAAATAATAAAGATTAGACAGAGATAGGAGCAGGAAAACAACAGAAGATTAACAAAACAAGGAGTTCTTTGAAAAGAAATAAAATTGACAAGCCTTTAGCTAGACTAACCAAAGCAAAAAAGAGAGATGACCCAAGTCAACAAAATATGATGGAAAAGGAGATATTACAACTGATACCCAGTAGAAAGGCAAAGGACTATAAGACACTATTCTGAACTATATGACAAACTGGACAACCTAGAAATAATGGAAGTTATTAGAAACATAACTAAGACTGAACCAAGAAGAAATAGAAAATACATAAAGTTGGGGCACTTGGGTAGCTTGGTTGGGTGTCCGATTTCAGCTCAGGTCATGATCTTGCTGAACTCATGGGACGGAGTTCGAGTCCCATGTTGGGCTCAGTGCTGATGGCTCAGAGCCTGGAGCCTGCTTCGGATTCTGTGTGTCCCTCTCTACCCCTCCCCTTCTTGTGCTCTGTCTCTCTCAAAAAAAAGTTAACATTAAAAAATTATTAAAAATCCATATAGTCAATGTGCTATATCACTTTAATAAATGAAAGAAAAACATAATTACCTCAATAGAAGCAGAAAAAGCATTTTACAAAATTCAACATTTGTTCATGGTAAAAATTTAACTAAGTACATAAGAAATGTACCTCAATATGATAAAGGCAACATATGACAAGTCCACAGTTAACATCAAACTCAATGGTGAAAAGTTGAAAACTTTTCCTCTGAGAATAGGAACAAGATTAGGGTACCCACTCACAACTCCTATTCAACACAGGACTGGAGACACTAGCTAGAGCAGTCAGGCAAGACAAAGAAAAGGCACTGCATAAGGAAAGGAAGAAGTGACTCTTTCTTTGCAATTGATTTTATATATAGAAAAACTTAAGGACTCCACCAGAAAGTGTTGGAGTTAATCAACAAATTCTGTAGAGTTGCAGGATATAAAGCTAACATACAAAAATATGTGGCATTTCCATACATGAACATCTGAAAAAGTAATAAAATGACCCCATTTACAACAGCACCAAAAACAGTAAGATAGGAATAAATTCAACTGAAGCAGTGAAAAATCTCTACACTGAATGTAAAGTACAAAGCATTGATGAAATAAGTTGAAGACAGATATTCTGTGCTCTGATTGCAGGAATTAATATGACATCCATAGTACCCAAAGTCATTTTATAGATTCAGTGAAATGCCCATTCGATTCCAATGGCATTTTTTTTACACAAGTAGGAAAAATAATTATAAAATACGGAACCATAAAAGACCCCAAATAGCCAAAGCAATCTCAAGAAAGAACAACAAAAGGAGAAGTATACTTCCTGATTTCAAGCTATATTATAAGGTTAAAGTAATCAGAACACTAGATCAGGAGACTAGATGCTGG